ACACATGTACACACACAGACACACGCATATACATGCACACACACAGAGACATACACAGAGTCACACAGACATACACATTCACATACACAGACATACACATATACATGCACAAACAGAGTGACATACACTCACATATTCCTCTCTCATGTTCGCATGTTACTGTGTGAGGCTATGGAGTGCCATGGCATGCCTGTGGTGATCAGAGAACAATCTCAGACATTGGCCCTTGTGTTCTACCCTGTCCCAGGCAGTCTCTTTGCTGTTTGCTGCTGTGAACCAGGCTAAATGACTCACAAGCCACACGCACAATCTCCCAGTAAGGGTGCTGGTATTACAAAGGTCAGACCTGCATCTTTTTATGTCTGCCCTTTACATGGGCTCTGAGGATTTGAATCAGCCCCCATGCTTACATAGCAAACACTTTACCCACTGAACTATCTTTCTAGCTTCTATTTAAAAAAATACTCATCAAATACTTCCTAATATGCCAGGCACTGTGTTGAGAGTCGAAGTTTGTAAATAAACTAGATGAAATGAAAGCCATTCCTAAAACCTGGAACTAATTTATTAAAAATTAGTATTAATTAATACTCTATGTGTAGTAAAAATGAGGGTGGCTAGACACCATGAGACACTGGGAGTGTGAGTCCTATGTTATAAGAAAAAGCTTCTTGATTTTGAACTGAACAAGAGATGAGGTTGTAGAAACTGAGACATGGTCTAAGAGTCAAGTAAGAGTAACAAAAAAAATCTTGATGAGGTTTTATTTTGTTTCATTATTTTCCTGGCTGGCAGAGAGGATATAATGGTGGGGAAGGTATGGGGAGGGCTACAGAGAGAGAAAATTCAGTCCTAAAATATAGTATCTGTTTATTGATGACACTTTAAGGAAGACACATAGCAAGTGCATTCAGGAATATCTAGACTTGTTATGGAGAGTTTTGAGTGGGGTTTTTGCTAGCTAGACAGGTGCACGGGGGTGCCTTGTCAGAGTGGCTGCTTCAGCTGACCTCTTGCCAAGTTAATGGGAGATCTCTGGACACTAGGTGACGAAATGGGAATAGGCTGGGCAGAGGATGCTTGGAGTTACTGGAGAGGAAGAGACCGTCACTGAGAAGCAGGTTCTTGGTAGTGCTTTGTCTGTGACAAAGAAGGTTCCTGTGGCCGGCATCCCATCACTAAGGTTGCATGTTCATCCAGGGTGCACAGCCAACCTGGGATGAAGTCATCCTGGGATGTGTGGTAGCCTCAGAGACAGATGATCCTATATCTTGTCTGTAAAGCTTCAGATGAACTGTTGAAGACTGAGGGGACAAATGTGTCATTCCAACATGGTAGATGACATAAGATGAAGTTGTGGGTATGAATGTGTGCTGACATTTGTGCAGGCGCTCATCACATGTGTGCATTTGGAGGTCAGAGGTCAATAGGTGTTAGTTTTTGAAGCTGTCTTTTCTTGGTGGGGGTGGTCTTAAGACTTTTTGATTAGGCTTAAGATGGCTGGCTGATCTACTCTAATCTCCTCTTTTCTGTTTCCCCAGCGCTGGGATTACAAACATATACATATACCATAACACCTGGCTTTTTACAAGGTATCTAGTGATCAAACTCTGGTCCACACACTTGCCAGGCAAGCACTTTACCAACCAAGCTATCTTCACAGCCCAGGATACATTTCTTGATTATAGAACTCAGTTGTCGCTATCGTTTTCATCCCTGGATAGGTCTGTCTTCTGTACCCAGACTTTCTTCTCTTGATAGCTTTGACTATCTCACACAGAGAAGTATGCAGTATACATTCAGTGTTGATAAAAGATGACCATTTAGCCCCCTAACTGATCTGTATCCAGTATTGCAGCCAGGCCTAGGAGTTTCACCTGAGTCCTTTTCCATAAAGCCAAACACCTCCCCCTTCTCTGTGTATGTATGTGCGTGTATGTGCATGTATGTGCATGTGTGTGTGTGCATGTGCGTGCATGCGTGTATGTGTGTTGTCAGAGTATATATGGAGGCCAGAGGGTTGACATTGACATATCTTCCTCAATTGCTCTAAAATCACATTTGTGTGTGTGTGTGTGTATGTGTGTGTGTGCACAAACACACACTAAAATGCATGTGGAAGTCAGAGGACAATTTGCAACACTGTTTCTCTTTTTTCATGTAGGACCCAGGAATGGAATGTAAGTCAACAAACTTGGTGGAAAGTGTTTAATCCAGGGAGCTATTCCTTCTGACCTCCACCTTGGGTTTTGAGACAGGGCCTCTCCTATAACCTGTAGCTTGCAGATTAGGCTTAGGTGGGTGGCTGGTAAGCCTCCCAAGAGTGTCTGATTTCCACCTTCTAGCAGTGGAATTGCATCCAGGCTGCCTTTCCCACAACTTTTCACTTGGGTGATAAGGCTCTGAACTTGGGTCCTCATACTTCCATAGCAAGCATGTAACCTCCAAATTCCCTTCTGTTTTTAGCTCAAGATCTGACTTGAGACCACACCCCAGGGCTCTTGTGGCTGTAGACAGGAGATGCCTTAATATGTATGGTACAATCTGCAGATGGGGCATCAGCCTTCTTTCTGAAGTATAATTCCTGCAGACAGCCTAACATCGGGATTTAATAAAAGCGTACATATACTCTGTGAAGAGCTGAACAATAAATAAAGGCAAATTTAGCTTGCTTTCGAAGTGGGTGGACCCTGAAACACCAGTGTATTTGAAATGGTGTCACAACCTAACTACAGATGCTTCCCTTCTGGTCTGCCACCATTGGACCACGGCGCTAGGCTCTGATAAGACACCATTTACAGCGTGCATGTGTTCTCTGTCCTTAAGTGTTTCTGATGTGCCACTGTTCCTTCTGTATTTCCTGTTTTATGTAGGTTGTAGCCCTCGGAGAGGTACCAGATGGGACTGTGGTTACTGTCATGGCCGGGAATGATGAGAACTACTCCGCCGAACTCCGAAATGCCTCTGCTGTTATGAAAAACCAAGTAGCCAGGTTCAACGATCTAAGATTTGTGGGCCGGAGTGGACGAGGTAGGTCTCTGATTTTTAATACTGATCCTGGGGTAAGCACGTTAGGCTCTCTGATGAAAGCAGACTTGTCTATATGTAAAAGAAGTAGCAGCTTCTCCTCCTCCTCCTCCTCCTCCTCTTCCTCCTCTTCCTCCTCCTCCTCTTCCTC